CTCGCCGATCCACTTGATCGCCTCCTGCTTCTTTTCGAGCTCAATTGCTTGACGCATGGTCGATTTCAAGATATCGGCCTAATGCTAAGGTGTTTACAGCGGCCTTTTATTTGAAGAGGTTTTTTAATCGAAGCGGTCATTCATTTCTAGAACATTGTCGAAAATTCGATGGGGGCTTGTAATAGTAGAAGGTCTAAAAATCCATTAATTCAATTGCGAGTATTTATAAAAAGCCAGCCTGTATAACCTGTGAGAGGGCCTACCTAAGAACCTATTTTGGCCTTTGAATCGCGAAGAAGTTATATATAATACATAAAAGTCCTGGATTTGTTAACTAAGGTCCATTCTCATCCATCAAGGACAAGAAAACATCAACCTCTATATCCTCTAGAGAGAATGAGAGCTTTGATATACCAGGATACGATGTTTAGTTCAATGAGTTGAGAAATATTTGCAATTGCTCATATCCACACTTTTTATACGTGTCATTCTTCTATTTGTATCAATCACCTCAATAATCATTAATTCACACTAATCTGTGCCAGTATTTGAAATCCTAGTACTTAATTTTGGTACTTCTGTCTTTGGCTAAGTCCGAGGAGCAAAAATGACAGTAGTGTCATGTGTACGAAAGCCACAGTCTAATCAGTACGTACTCCGTTACGTGCAGCTTGCAGACATCTCCTCGAAAAGCTTTTGCTCGGACCTGAAGAAGTAAAATAAAGAGTGAGAGGTCCTGTCAGATGTCGAAGATACTCCTGATACAAAGATTAATATTGTAAATGAATGTAAGGTGTGCAGTGCAAGCTATATATTTAAAGTCAGATCAATACGATGTCTTAAGCCTCGTTAAAATTTAGTAAGAGTATCAATTTAAAGAGAACGAAAAATTTGAGTGTGATCAAACGTGTGCGAGATGAAATGGCGAGTACGCAAGATTTACAGAAGAAATACGCGATAGACAAGGTCGTCAAGGTAAATGTCTCGTATTGTTGGTTGTTTGTGTATTACTTAGTACTAAGATTCTAACAGACGATGGTCTACATAACGACCGTCATTCAAACAAGCTGGTCATTTGATGCCAGGGTCTGGCTCGACATGCGAAGGCGCCGTTCGACGTGGACTTGGTGCGACATTTAAGTTTGATGAAAACGAAAGCGCCTTCACATCTCCAGATTGAGGTGCGGTTTTGTTTTACGCTCGTCGTCGACGCAAATTGTCTTCGATGTATTTTATTTTGTGTTGGATCACGAATGACCGAGTCATAAAGCTTGGAGAAAGTTCGAAGGAAATACAAGTTAATCCACTTTTATCTGTGTGGAGGGGTGTAAAGGGGTCAGTCCCATAAAACAGACTGTGTGATCCATGGTCTATTTCAGAAAGTGCGTGTATACGGTCGGCCATTCCCGTAACATTTTATATTGTCGCTCTGCTTGTCCAATATGTCGATCGGATTTTGAGCCTTGAGAGTAGTGATGATAGCTTGTCTCTATGTGAAAGCCGAATTCATGATCAATGGCGAGGGCCCATTCATGTTCGGAGTGGTCGGAGCTAAAATATGACCCAGGATGATTGAGATGGGTCATTAATAACAGGGGTGAGTGAATGATCCATGGCTACGGTAAAATTATATTAAATATGGAAAATGGCCAGGTACTACTACAAAACTAGCCTGCGTAGCGAGGATAACTTTCCGATTCGCCTGAGAGTTTCTTAAGTCCTGTCTCACGCTAATTGTTACGCCTTGGCAATTAGAGCCATTTGGATTGTGCAATTATGCACAATCCAAATGTAATTATACTTTACAATAGGTATTGATAATACTAACTGATGTCTGAACAACTCTGATTACGTATCCGAATAAAACTTGATCTACTGATCCATGGATGAATTTGGAAGGAGAGAAGTAGCAAAAGCGAGGGGCCGAATAAAACTTTCTTTTTGGATTTCTCTGATGATATTTTTTAGATTTACACTGATGTTTATAAATGTCATAGTAATACCAAAAAATTGCGTTACATTTTCTTGGCTTCTTGAGTCCTATCCATCATCACATGGATCAACGCGGCGAGCAACTTCAGTTGATCTCAACGTTTAATACGGTGTGATGATGTAAAATAATGATGGGACACCTTGCGCTTGTAAAGGAGATAGCCGAGCTTTGTGAGCCAGGTCCAGCTCGTAATCATTGATCTAAATATCATTGTGAGATCAAGGAAGGAATCTGGCATCACTCCTAGTTGATGTAGCGAACACGGAGCACGATAAATCCTTCATAGGGGAGACTGAGCGCAGTTAGCGACTTTCCCTCGGAGAGCGGCTATGCAGTGTGCTGTCGGGTGTGAGCGGTGATGTGCGATCAATACTCGTGGAGACACTACGACCGATTTTATCGATGGGAACCTCGACACCCTCGCTGAGAATCAATTTGTCGCGAGAATTGCACCTTGGTTAAGGCTAGTTGCCCTAATTAATCTGGTCTACGAGAGAGGACTCCGGTAGAAGTATGCTCTGGGTTGCGGACACATTTAAATGCAAAAACTGGAGCTAGACTCCAAGCGTAGTAATAACTCGTGAATTTGCCAACTTCGCGTGAATTATAAAACGTGGTTAGCCAGCGTGCTCCGCATACTAAAAATCCACGTTGTTCATTGGTTTAATTGAGATTATGAATAAGCACTGGTCTTTATGAAGATGATTGAACATCAAAATGGAGAGACCCGTCATACACGAGGGCTGCTAGCCGCACCTCCTACAACGAAAACTGGGTTGTTGTGAGAATCATAAAAATTGTATATTCTAAATACTCACTATAGCTTTACATGTACTCTCTAAACTAGCAGATCGAACAAGGCCCCTAGTGACTGTAGAGGCTTTCGGTTTGTTGCTTCTGAAAGTAGCGTCCACGTTAGATCTATGTTTGTTTGTTAACTTCAGAAAGTGGAAGCAGTAATTGTTCCGAAGTTTACAGTCATGATGAATGGGTCCAGGGCATCCTTGTAGTTCTACAGCACATTCGCATCGTTAATTGTATCAACTTGGGAGGCAACAATTTGCCAATCTTCTCCCGCACTTACATCAGAGACACCACTTA